TTCAGGGTCTCGTGCTAGACTTTCAAGCCCATGCCTTTCCTGTTGTAGATGCCTGCAAAGGACTGGGTTCGACAGAATCCAATTCGCATCCCGGAAGCAGCTAAAGTCCGGAGGGACAAGAGCTCTAAAATGATGTAAAATTTTCCTCAAACAGGTCAGTTTATTATCTTAAAGGCATGAAATAGGTGAGTGAGAAGATTTTTTTACTTTGAGCCTAAAGGAAATCGTTACACGACCGAGTGTTTATGCATAACTTCTGTTCTTAAATTGTAACTATCGCGAAGGATCGAATACCGTTGTTTGTAGTCGTTTCATTATTGAAAACAAGTATAAGCTGTGCTCGCTTCTTTAAGTTTCTCTCAGTTTCTTTCAGTGTCCTATTTCATTTCATTTCTAGAAACTATTCGAATTATTCGTTGAGATACATGCAAATTTCTCGATATTTCTCTCGAAATCAAAACCGAAAGGCAGAGACTCAACAATATAAACCTTTACTGTGTAATAATTGGCAATTATAAGGAAGCAAACACGTTAAAGACTAAACACTCGCAGTATCATAGTAATCGAAGATACAGACGTTTCTAGGTATACTACTTTGCTACGACGATAGTCATGAAGATCTGTTTGCTCTTTCAGAATAGAAACTGTCTTACTCACTCGCGTAATTACAACTTTGTGCCATTTTATTATAAATGGCCGTAACTCTGTATTTCGACGAAAGTCGACAAGAAAAGAAAATAAAAGGAAAATTCTCAAACAAGGGTACGGAAAATAATTAAAACGATAGAAAAAAAAAATATTTCAGAATTTGGCTTTCTCGGAAAAACCGGATGTCAATAAACAATAATTATATTTTATCTTGAATAGCTGAGTTACGCACTCTGTACAAGATCACGTACAAATTCTTTAATGAAAGTGAAATTTTGTCGAGAAATACTGGCCTGTTTGTACAAAATAGCTTAGCCTCTGATTGACAAAAACAATTCATTTGATTTAAAACACAGAACATAGAATTGAATTAAGCAAAGTCTTCTTGTAGGATACAGTCTTCTTAGCGTGACCATTTTGCTCGACTTCTTCGACTAGAAGGCTAATCGAAGTTAATCAGTCTTCTCGACGAATTCAATCTTTCGGAGAAATATGAGCAAAATTTTGCGGACGGCAATGAAATAGTCAACATCACGAACTAAGTGTTTCCTTCATCCTTAGCTATTCTTGTTCTGTACCGTTATTATTTAATTATTGCTTTAACTTAAAGGGTAACTAACGGCTGAAAAGTTTTCGGAATACTGTTTAACAGCCTCAGGTAACACATTTAAATAGACACAGGGTACTTCGAACGCCTCTTTGTGCCTTTTTTCGCTTAGAAACTGTCCATAATGCTGCCTTGTGAGTTATCCGCCATAAACGTTTCGAATTTGATCATGTGACCTGTACGTCACACGTGTGCGCACTTAGTAAAATAAATATGGCGGATAGTAGTTTGCGTGAGAGCAGTTCGATTTCGAGGTCTGATTATTCGGATTGTGAGGCCTCGATGGAAGGTAATGACAGTAATAAAATAATGATAGGGCTTATGAGCGTGTAGGTTAAATCAGGCCCTGGCGATTTGAACCGCCAGGACAAACCGAAAATAGAGTCAGATGAGGATCGAGAGCCCGTGCGCCGCGGCCGCCTCAATTAAGAAAGTGACAAATGGTAAGTACATTTCGCTTGTAAATTTAATATCTGAAATCAGTTGCTTATTAAATGGAAGAGCGATCAAATAAAGAAAACCAAATGAGCAGACTCTTGAATTCTATAGGAGCGAAGTGTTTTTGTCCTACCTTCCGAAGCTTAGTTTTTACAGACTGTGAAAAATATAAACATACACACTCATGGAGGTGCATTGGACGGATTCATTTTTGATTTTAGTTTCCTACATTATACAGGTTTAACGCGTTTGTATCGGTTTTAGTTTTCTTGTATTGAATTTGACGAACTATCAAAGGTCTCTCGGCTTTTACTGCAAGACACATTGCAACAAAAAAACTTGTAGAAATGAACATCCTGTTAACATATCGTTAACTTAGTTTTCCCCTTTGTGGTCATTGTACCTTGTTCATAGCCTAAAGTGTAGGTTATCTCTTATGTTTGTAACAGTTACTGAGCTGATAACTGTTCATTTTGGTGAAACCAATCAATCATACAACTTGTGTTCTCTATTTTTTCTGTTCAACATCGTGATAAAAATTGCTACTGTTCTGATTCTTTTATTACAAGTTGCCATTGTGGAAACTGCCAATCAATGTGGAGGGAGAAAGGAAGCATCTGCTGTCAATAAGTGGATGTTGTGAAAAATAAACATTTGGAGGATGTTACAGAGGAATAGCTGCAGGCAGAACCCAGATCCAGGAGTTGGAGACGCTTGAATAGCAGGAGCTGCAGATCTCTTTAATACTAGCTTAGAACTAAAATCCAGCTATTTTTGTAAGGAATCCTTCGTAGTTTTCAGCTGAGAAATGGTCACTGCAAATGTGACCCGAACCTGGTGTCCAACTATTAGATTCTCTTTTTGTTAGAACAAATGCCATTCTCTGTCGCCGCATACTTTCATCAGCTGGAAACTGGTGAGGGCTAACTCCGTCTACATTTGCTTTGTTATAAACATCACTGCACAGCGCTTCCCTGGTTTTCGTGATTTTCGCTTGAAATCCTGTTGTTTTCCGTTCATATTATAAATGTCATTACAGCTAAGAGTGGTAAAGTTTTGGATAACTAGAGCTTTGAAAAAAAAAAATTTTTTTAAAGTTCAGGTCATAACTTGAGAAACATTTCGTGCTTGTTAATTCCGTCCTACGATTGTGTCGCTGACTCGGTTCGTTTTTTTAACCAAGATACTGTGTTTTATACTGTGGATACTAGGCAGTCTCACGACATGTGCTTTAATCAAGTGGTTTCTCTCTCAGACTGTCGGCCTGTTTTATTCATAATAAACGAGCGTGAGAAATTTACTGTTCACTCAGCTGACAGTGGTACATTCTTGAAACGAGTAACATTGCAGACAATATTTATTTCATCGTGTTTTCCGGTCGCAAATGAGAAACAAAGCTTAAGTGTGGCGCTCATAACAAGGCCTTTCTTGTAACTTCGGTTTACAACATGTCTCTGTTATTATTCACTTCCACTGGAAGTCAGACTTATGCACAGGAATGTGCTATATATGCTGTTTAATGTTGTAATCATCCCTGAGGAAGTCTCACCTAAAGACGAAACGCGTCGGAAAAACTCAACTAAAAGTTACAACAGAAAGAAGTTTTCTATTGTACTTTGTACTAGTCTCCCTTAAAAAAGATAAAGAAAGGATAATTCTTGTACATTTCTGGGCCGTGGAAGAAAGTTTCGTTAACGAAACCAGATGGAGACCTCCCGTAATACGCGACAACACTTTGCGCTTATCTTGCGCTCACTCCACAACTGGAGGAGGTCACAATGATATACACCGGACAAAATGTTAAGTTAAATGATTTTCGGCTTGGACTAAAAAATATTTCTATAAGTAACATAATCAATAATGGTCAAGAGGGAAAAAAAGATTTACCTTGGCATGGCATGCAATTTACCTGTGGCTCTGAAGACAGATACGCGATCCGTCGCGTTTCGATAATTCAACCTTTTTAGAGAAAGTTTTTTATTTCTCACTTCGTATTTCATAGTCTCTAAATGGTGGCTTGTACTATAATAGAACAAATCTTTTTTTTCCGCTCGTTACCAGCTGGATAGTGAGGGCGAAGTTGTTACTTTCAGAGTCCTAACATGACCTTGCACACGTGTGACGTATCACATCAAGTGACCTGGACCAGAACATTTTCAAAATGGCCATCGATTAGGAGTAAAAATTTGGTTTTTATACAATATATCGCTTGTTTGCTCATTTAGGATTCTTAAGCCTAAGAGGAATGTATAGGGACAAAAAAGGGGGTCAGTTACACTTTAAGGCTCATTTTGAGCTTACAAGGTTGCCGTGATCAACGTGATATTTCCGTAGAAGCTTTCGATCTGATGAGAAGTCTGGATTTTTTCTTTTCTGTGTCGCAGCCTTTCTAATGAAACTTCGCCAGATTTGATAAAGGTTCAAAGCACTTCTGTTCATGAACAGAGCCCTTAAATTTCGGCGGTTATTTTGTCGGAAAAGCCAATTCAGCAGCTATTAGAGTTACTTTAATCTTTTGGACTGCTGTACTAAGCATTATGAAGCAAATTTGATGAAATACGTAAAAAATGAGTGCGAGGATTTGATCGTGGTATCCAAATATCGAGAAACAAATGAAGACACTAAGCCTCTTCGACCGAGTGCTTTTATTTGTTTTGAGATATTTGGATACCACGATCAAACCCGAAGCACGTGTTTTTCAGATTGCCTCTCAAACTGCCTATATTAATTAGCACCTAAATCGTAACACTATCGTTATGTTCTTTTTATTGGTTTCATAATTTTGGACATCATTATCAGCTACCATTCATCCGTTGTCTCTTTGGGGTTTCTTTGGGGAATTCAAAGGGTATGCTAAATTTATGGTAGTTTTGCTCATTTAATTTATAGCTCCGTGTCTAGTCGGAGCTTGATTATGGCAGAAAGCAATGCAGTTAACCATTTTCGTGTCCCAAAAAGTGGTGAAGAAGAAAGTAAACTGCTAAAGGAAAGTGTTCCCAAATCAACTGTTAGTGTAGTTTTTCTTATTTGCATTTCACGCAACGCATGAATCTAGATATCCAATTCAGGGGTTATCAATAAAAGGCCACCTGAGCAGGGTTACTCGTACACAATCTCCCACGACAATAATGCCACCTAGCCTAATCAAATTTGAGTAAGATTTCCAACTGACCGGGCTTCCCCGAGTTTTAATGATTCAATGGATTTTATCTTCAGTCATCGAGTTGTAGTAGCGAATCATTGTGGATACAGTAAATCAGTTATTTTTGTGTGATAATTATTTCCCTCGGCTTTCTGCTTCCTAGAAATGGGTAACGAACAATCTATAGCTCTTAATCAGAGGCGTATGCAGAGAAGTCCCATCGACTCTCTGTTTGAGCGCGCAGTTCTTGATGCTCTTCGTGAAGTAGCCGAAGAATCATCGGTGCCATCAGAACAGATTGAGCATGCGTGGGACCCCGAAGATTGCTCGCCCAGGTTCAGAGTTTTGAGTGACAGGTTGACAGCCAGGAGACTTCCCTCACCTCTTACCACAGATGGCATTAGAGGTACTCAAAATCTTAACATTAACAATGTTATATTTTGTTGAAACTAGTTGATAATTTCAGATTCACTGAAATGTATCATGGTTCTAACCGATTTTCTTCAGTTATAAATATTATTAACTTTTATTCTTTAACGTTGATTTGAGTGAATCTTTGAGGCAGAATTGTGATCAGCTTTCTCGCGTCTAATCTGCTGACTTTATGGTATGGTTTGTGACTTGATGTCAAATAAATAAGTTTTAAAAATTTCCGAATCAACTAGACTGAAACCCGGTCAAAACTGTTTTGCTTAGAAAATAGGGCAGCAAAACCCAGAAAACAAAAGGAAACAAAACGAAGCAAAGCTGAAGAGCAAACAGACATAAATAAAAGGGCCTCCTGATTAAGCTCTTAAAAACTTGCTGCAGCTGTTCTGAAATAACTATGAAACAAATACCACCTTAACAGGAAAAAAGGGATACAGACAAGGTCGACACGTCTGGGAAATAACCTGGGAACGAGACGAACGAGGTTCCCACGCAGTCATCGGAATCGCCCTTCCTCAAGCACCCCTTCAGTGCCTTGGTTACCTACCACTGATAGGATCCAACTCAGCTTCGTGGGGATGGAATTTAAGCAAGAAAGTGACATTCCACGACGGACAGGAGGCTGCTTATCCGGCAAATAATCCGGGATTTTTCGTTCCTGATACAGTGTACTGTATACTGGACATGGACAATGGTACTTTAAGGCGAGTGGCAAGACTGCAACCACTTTTACACAATCCGCCCGTTTCTTTTTCTTTTTAAAGTGTTTGTTTTCTCTAATAAACATTAGGTTGTCTTAAGGTTTATGCTGGCAATAGATAGGAGTACCGTTTACAACATTCACGACCATATTTACATCACTTTCGGATTATCCCAAGTTTACTCCTTTCGAATTAATACGTATGGACTACAAGTAAATGAGCTAACATTTTGCACAGAAATCAACTGATGGTGGCTTATAAAACTTTATTTGACTTAAGGTATTATGCTTTGGTGAGTATCCTTGTCCGGTCGGCGGTAAATTGAGAGATAATTTTCAAATGTCGTTTTTGTATTTCCTGCGCGAAAAGCGAGATCTCTTAGTTGTAAATGACGGACGCTGTTTGAATGGATTTATCATGTAAGTTTGATTTTGAAGATCTCTGCTTTAATTTCAAGCTTTGGTTTTTCATGAGTTTGGTTTAACTTCTTGTGACTTCTTGATTGTTTTGGATTCTTTACTAAATTATTGAAACTTGTTTTTGATTCAGTTTTGCAACGGAGAACACTTATCTCGGGGTGGCGTTTCGTAATTTACCTCGTCATCCGCTGAAGCCTCTTTGCCCATGTGCAAGTGCGGTATTTGGCAACTGTGACATCAAAATGAGGTATATGGGAAGGGGAGGTAAGTTCTGTTTCAGGAATAATTTAAGCAAAAATTGATTTTTCAATTAAAGAAACGAATTCTTTCTTAACTATTCTTTTGTGATATTTTAGCAGCTAAAAGAAATTAATAACCAACAATTAACTTCCAATATTTTGAAGTCGACTTAATTGCACTTGCTTTCACGAAAAATCGCGATTCGTGATACGACTTCTAGTATCAATCTTCAACGACACTTAGTTTAGTTTCGTGAAGTGTAAAGTGGGATTCTTCATTTGCAAATAAGTTAACTTGGTTTCCGAGATCTCGCCCCATTACTTTCTTGCGTTCACGTGCGAAAGTGAGGCATTCCGAGATCAAGATTAGAACTGTTCGCACTCCAGTTTAGTTCACGTAAATGAATCTGGCAACTGCGCTATTCGTCTCAGTGACGGAGCTAAAATCTACCATAATTACATGAACGCAAGACAAAATTCATACCGCAAGAGGTTATACTTAGATAAGGTCTTTTCCTTGGGGGCTATAATCCAGTCACTGTTTTGGGTGGATGCAACGATAGGATGATAAAATTAAGGATAAAATAGTGTGATATAAGTCAGAAACCACTCGAATATTTTCCGGGTTGTTACCGTTACCCAAACTGATGAACATTTCAATAATTGCAGTGCGGTTCCTCGGCATTTTACTGAGCTTCGTCGTTTATCCAATACTTCCATCGTGACATTAACAAAAGCTTTTTTTATTTCTTTGAAGACATGTTTATTGCTAAGTTGGAAGCGTCAAAAGAGAAAGCCTCGCGCCCGTCTACTTCCCCTGCAGTCAAGCCCCCACCGGAATCCCCAAGACCCAAGTCTCCCCCCCAGTCTCAAAGGACTACCTCTCCAACCCAAGCTCCAACTTTCTCCGGTGACTCTGCGAATTCTTCGGAGTCATACAAGTTCGCTCACAATTGTGGAGATAAAATTGCTGTGATGCTTGCGGGGAAGAAAGCAAGGAGGATCGAGTAAGCAAATGTTCCTTTTTTTTTTTTTTTTTTTTTTTTTTTTCAAGAAAAGAACTAACCCTGCATTGAACTTTTCCTACTCGGATGTTATGTTTCCTGGTAGTGACAGCTGTAAATATTTGCAGTGCCCTACAAATTTTCAACCATGGAGTTGTGATGACTGGGCAACCTTTGAAAGATGATGAGCTGTTTGAAGTACGCTTGGACAGTAAAGTGCCAAAGTGGTTTGGCACTCTAGACATTGGGGCCACAACAGTCTGCCCCGAAGGCCTGGACTTTCCTCCGTCAATGGATCGCTTTGGACAAGGCTTAACATTTGCACTCTGTGGAAATAAAATACTAAATAACGGAAAAGAAATGACTGAGATATCAAAGAACTTGAATGATTTGACGGTATGTTGCCATAATCAGCCACCAAAGACTGGGAACTTTGCATTTTTTTGCTTCCTTGTAATTTTGCTATTTGCTTCCGCCACACTACCCCCAATGAAATGTTATGTTTTCAATTTGCGATTGCATTGAAACATCTTTAGGGTTTAATAACTTCAGATTCCTCCATTCGACAGACTTTCTCGTCTTGAATGTGGGAGGGGGGGATGAGTGTGTATAATATCAACTAAAAACCAATAAAGCGACGTTAATAATAATAATAATAATAATTACTTTATTTATATAGCTTCTATATCACTAATTGCTTTAGGCGCTTAACAATGTCACAAAATGTATTAAAAAACACTAAAAAATCTAACAATTACATATATAAGCGTGGAAATTAAATAGAAATATATTTACAAATCAAAAAAGGCTTGACGAATTAATGGTGCTTTTACCCTCATTGTACAAAAGAAATATACGCCAAATTTCTTTTATTGATCTGGGAATCTCTTTGCCTTAACAGGTTGGAGATCGAGTAGGGGTGATGCGCAAATCAGACAATTCCTTGCATTTTTTCATAAACGGAGTAAATGTTGGCAAGCAGGTCAAAACCCTTCCGCCTGTTCTTTACGGAGTTGTGGATGTATTCGGTCAAGCTGAAGAAGTAACCATAACTGGTTCGCATTTTCCTCTTTTTTGTTCACTTGCAAGCCTCTCAATCACTATTACATTTTGAGGAACTTTTGGCTGAACTCAAGATTTCAGCATTTAGTCATGATGGCTGTGGATAGCCTATTTCCACTTATTACTCGTAAATCAAGGTTCTTGCATGCCTCTGTAGTATATGTCTCTCCAACTCTACCTGCCTTCCATCTGTTGATTGCTTGTGGTGGTTCTTTACTTCTTGTAGGCCTTTTTGTGAAACACATTGTTTTTCGCACTCAAATTGCGCTTTTTTTTTTCCTACAGGTGGTACAGCGGAAACTCAAAGCAGTAACCAGGACGAAGTGGACTCTGTCTCCATCATGGTGCGCATGCACAACATTATCAACATCATAAAAGATGGAAAGTTTGAAGATATTTTGTCTGTAGTAGGAAAAGTGGCCAAAGATATTCTAGAGCCTTATTCCGAGACAGACAACAGGCAGCTTCGCTTAAAGTATGGTGACCATTTATCGGACATCAGTGCCCCTCAATACCTGACCGTGCTGCTTCGCCGGGCGATGGACATGGGGATGGAGACTAGAGCAGGCTGGCTCGGCATGTACGTTATTCGCAGTGTATTTTGGAATTATGCAGACGCCAGCTTAAAAATGGCGAGAGATTTGGGACGAAGTGGGTCACTAAAGATTATGTTAAATGATTTGGACACGTTTGGCCCGAACAGTTTCAGAAATGAGGTAAAGCCCAGTTGAACTATTCCTTGAGTTACTCAGCAAATTAATTTTAAACAGTCTTTATCATTCCTGGTAATCTGAAAGATTCCTCGCGTAGAAAGCTTTTAGAGCAAACAGTTGCTCAAGTCTTAAACACTGATGTAAGATGTCGGAGTTACCGTGTGCACTCGGGGACACGAGAAATGACCGTGGGTATCTATATTCCCTTTCTGACATTGATATTGCCTTAATCAAGATGCTATCTGTAATTGATGTTAACATCCAAAAACTGTTACAGGCACTGCAAGAATGTCTTATTAATTTTTTCACATGCGTGTTACATTGAGTGCGTTTATCCTTTTCCAATTAATTTGTTTTCACGCAGTAGAGTGTTTTGGTTGTGGTATAAGATAAATGATAACTTCGTTATTGCTTACTTTATATTCAATTTTTAAAACACAGAAAAAGAAATTCCTGGTTTTTTCTGCGATGAATATTTTGCACAATTGCTCTAAAGCTGCAGAAAATCGTCAGATCCTGCTTGATCTGAGAGCCATTGAGAGGATTTCGCCATTCCTGAAGGCAGATGATATGGAAATTGTTGTGACGGCGATATTGACACTAGCATACATATCTTCCGATGACCAGAAAAAACGTTTGGAAGCAGAGAGCAGAGTGAGTGTTAGTTATAAGCATCATTAGCGGCTGGTATTAGATTCCGAATATTGGGATCGGGTCAGTTATGGTCAAATACTGGAGTAGGGACTGAAAAAGCTTGAATGAAGGAGGTACGGGTATACATAGGACTTACTATGAAAACACTGACTGGTCGAGAGCAGTCAAACGATATACAATAAAGTGCGAAGTTGACATGATAACCCAATATCTGCAGATATTGGGTTATCATGGGCAGTCAAATTCTGCCTGGTTTTCAAGCCCCTCGTCCGTGTAAACTTTTGCAAACTCATAGAGAAGTGCCTTATAATAAAACTGTTATTGAGTTCGGGTTTCGCAAAATATCTTGAACTATCAAATCTCGCGTCTGTGCTATTTGGCTAAGCCTTCTGCTTTGGAAGATAACTCAGACCTCGGCATTGATAATTCTTGATATCATACTCAACCTCATCCAATAACTTCTTATCATCAACTCAACTGAAAACCAGTTATAATTTAAAGAAAAGGGACCTTTTTATGGGAAACCAAATTTATCACATTTTTTTATTTCTAGTGTATGTGTTTTTTTGCTTGGAAACACTTGGTATAAATGTAATTTTCTTCCTTTCATCAACCTCAGGACATACACTGCAATATTTTCGGTCAGTTTTGTGAAGTGCAGAATCACCTCCAGTTTTTAGGAGATCAAACAAATTTAAGTTTAAATTGTGGAACGCCCACGTAAAAGTTCTGCATTCAGAAATTCTGCGATAGGTACTCAGGAGAGTGGTTGGCCTTTTGATGTGCAGTTTTAAGCAAGATCAAATAATACGCGAGCCTGTCTTGTTAATTTTTGAATGACTAGTAGATTTATTCTAAACCCATTAGATTATTCTCTCAAGATTTTTATGGGTAATAGTTGATCCGGGCTTCGTCCTTATCAACAATCGGCGATAGAAATCTCGAGCTCATAATTTAATTGTTAATTTGTTCAATAAGAATAATTAAGAAGCAATACAAACCAAGAAGTGAGAGGTAATGGAGAAGATTCAATCAGACTCAGCTGTAAAAGGAGGAAAAATTGAAAAACTATTAAGGATAAACTTTGTATGAGATAGGAGAAGAATTTGATTGAACTGAGGTATTATTATGATCTTTACGATTTTCTTGTTGTTCATAAGGTAATAAGCTATCTGATTGGTATGTTGCGAAATGCATTGAATCAGTCCGACTTACGAGGAAGATCGGATGGGAGCACGTGGTCTGCTCAAGAAATCGCAGATGGTTTGGGTAACTTGGTGGTGAATGAAAAGAACATGGAGGTTATGCTAGAGAGAGATGTTGTTCCATTAATGATATCACTCCTCGAAAAAGGTGGAGATACTGAAAAGGAACGTGCAGCTAACACCCTTTGGATTATCGCAAAGACATCGAAAGGAAAAGCAAAGATAAAGGAAACTGCAGCTGCTACAGAAGAGCTAACTCGCTTAAGCAAAAGTTCCAACCAGTCTGTGCAGGCGGCCGCCAAGAGAGTCCTTCTTGAGCTTGAGGAAACCACCTACACCCAAGGTGAAAGTCCAATTCATTTTCTTTCATTCATAACGTTCAAAACAGTAGAATGATCTGTTGTAATTTAGAGATAGAAAAAAGAAATACTAATTTATTGACAATTTCCAGCAATGCAGAGGATGAATTCCTGCGCTTCAGAATTTACTGTGAATTGCGGATCTTACAAAAAAATCCAAACATTCTGCATCCCAAAAATATGTTTTTTGCCACGCTGAAATGTTTTGCTCGCTGTCTTTCATACTCAGGTGACTACTTATATTAAATACAAGTAAGATAGAATAGATGTGGGTGGCAATGATCGTTGGCATTGAGGGACTGAGCGATAGCGCTTAGCGAGAAAAACGTGACTCCTTGCTCGGGCGGAACGGTCGATCACCGATCCCCGGTTATGTTGAAAGCCCTTAACGTAGCTGGCTGAGAGTGTTTAGAATATTGACGTAGAGAAATTTTCCTGATTCGACCTTCTTTCTGGTCTTTCAGGTTCGGCAAATAGACATCTAAGAACACGTTGTGACTATCAAGAGAAATGTCGCACATTCAAGTCAACTCTCAAGCTTTCAGGTAAAGCGCCTCTGTAACTGAATGGACCTCTTTCTAAGATTACTACATTGTTTTAAGAGAAAGTTCTATGATGTTAATAATTTTTTTCAGGTGAGTTTGGCTCTGAGCCCTTTTTACCTACATAATTTTCTTTCAGACGTCTTTTTTGACCCAAAGTTCGACAGATGTTTCTGTACAGAGTGTCACGCTGCCCGAGGCGATAAACTCTATTACACTCGAGGACAACCAGCAAAGGACTACGGGATTCCGATAGGATGGTGTCGCTTTGGACTCAAGTAATTTGACTGGGCTGACCAGTGATCTGTAGTATAGTTGTGTAGTGAAAATAGATCAGTGACAAACATACATGCAGTTTTTGTTTCTGTTCAAACTATTGTCGCTGTCTTCAACATCATTGTAGCTTGAGTCTTTTGACACATGTATTTTCCTAATTTTTCTATTTTTACTCCTATCACTCGTAAAAGTAGAGTTTTAATAAAAGTTCTTCAAATAACTCAGTCGCTTCCTGAACTTACTTAAACAATTCTAAGAGATATCAACCAATTGAAAATCCTTTCAAGTTTTGTGTGGACGTATTCTTGAGTTTAGTCAACTTCCTAAAAATTCCAAAGTGTCTTTTGCTTGAGCCACTTTTCGACGAACGATGTGGGGCGGTGATGGTAATGCTATTGAGTTGTTTCTTTGGCTTTCAAGACGAACACCTTCTGGGGTGGAAGTTTTGGATATCACATTGTTTAGAAGTGATTTAGATGTTACGAGTGATTATGTAAATAACATCGTGTAATTGCTTTTCAGAGTTCATCCTCGAGCTACAGCCCTGGACGTGTTTAACAAATGGCACGTAGCATTCCATGGTACAAAAGTCGAAAGTGTAAACGCGATCCTGGAATGCGGTGATCTTCTCATCCCAGGCATGTAAATGTTGCTTAAGTATAACAGGCTATTATAACAATCAATTGATGACCTCCTTTCAAGACGACAAACGATATAATTTGTTTTTATCAAAACCGATATGCTTCACTGTTTTCTTCAATCATAATGTTTTTTTTACAGTTTTAAATCTAGCTAGTTGTAAATTTACCAACGTTTTCTCTAGTGTAGTCTTGAACATGTGTTAAAATGTGTACATCATTACTGTCCTTACAATACCAGTAACTCCGACAAGAAACCCTCTTTAATGAATGATGTTGAGCGCAAGAGAACGAATTTCTTTGGGAGAAAAAAATGTTTAACCCATTGTGCAAGTGTTAGTTAAGTATGGATCCCTTTTTGCATTTCAAATCTCGACTTAACCTTTCCTCTATTTCTTATGACTTGTCTCGATTAAATTGTTTGCAAAAATGGTTTGCTTTTTGTTACATCTGTAGGCGATGTTGCACTCGGAGGAAGAAAATTAACTGAGGAGGAAGGACATTTTAATGACAACAGAAAACCGACAGGGTTTGACACAAAACAGATCTTTGTATCACCGAGTGTGCGCTATTCGGGACACAACTGTTATGCAAAACCCAAAAGGTGACCATAATGTTCTTATATACGTACTTTACAGATTACCACATGCTTCAAATTTAACAGTCATGTAACTTTATCACAGGAAAACTGATAGAATTAGCCTTATAGCTGAGTAGACTTTAAAGAAGTATATATCCCTAAGGACCTTGGAGAAGATGCTCACATCTTATCCGAGAGAGGGTTCCTAGTATCTTATATTCTCAACGGGTCTAGAGTTTTTAAAACTCACAATTAAAACTATTCTCGAGTTTCGTCATTCAAAGAAAAAGCCAAAACCTTTTTCAAGGATAGTAATGATGAGAATGTGATGTAAGTTTGTAAACTCTGGTTGTTGTCGAACATATTTAAAAAGGCAAAGGTTTGCTGTAGGGTGAAAAGGCGAATTAATGTGAATATCTTCCTCTATGAGTAATTTATATTCGTATCTGCTTTATATCATCGTTCTTTTAAATTTTAGTTTTAGCCACCCATCATTACACAAAAGTTACAGCACCAAGGCAGTTCTTCAACTCTGCATCAACCCAGACAGCTACCAGGTTGGACCTCAGACAATCGGTGCTACGTCTGAGATTGACCCAAAGTTTAGTAACCAAGAAATCGAGTGGTCTACTAAGGAACGTGGCTCGATTATTCTTTATGGACTTCTAGTTAAACTAGATGAAGAGAATTAAGTTCATTTTTGCGATTCTTGCACCTGCCATTCATTAAAGGGGCTCATTTATCAATGGGACATTGTCTAGTTCAAGATATCTCTTAATGAGGTTTCTACTGTGTGATAAACTTTCTTGTTAAGTCAGTCTGTTTCTTTTCAAGAGATCTACTATGTACCGTGTTTATTAAGATGTGTGAGGTAAAACGGTAAAATTAGATTGCGAAGCATAGTGGACCGTGTGTCATGAATAAAATAGTCTAAAAGTACACAAAATTGGTGAAAAGTAAACAAAGGGATTGCTTACAAACTGTGAGGCTCCCATTTAGGCTGTTTGGCTTGTTTCTCCATAATGTTTACAATGACTATTGAAGACCGCTGCCAACGTTAAATTTTACTAGGGGCTCATAGATCGCCACCTTTTGCTAGTCCATGGATAAGCTCGTTACAGCAGGTTTAGACGCAGCAGTTGTTTTTGCTAAGAGTAGAGAAAATGGGGCAGAAAACCTCAGTGGTAAATCCATGCTGATCATTGTTAACCTATATTTCAACTCAGTATGTACTTGTCAATGCAATGTGGTCACATAATTCTAGTCAGCGACAGCAATGATCGGTTTAGTTACGGTAAAAACCAAAATGTAATTGTTGTAGTTATTGAGTCCTTTATTAAAAGAAATTGTTCTCTCTGTCTATTTGTCATTTAGTCTTTAATGTCGGACGGATTCTGCGATCAGCAGAAAAAGGGGTGCAAGACACACCTACGTTTAAAGGACGGTTGGAAAAACTACAATTCACCTTCATTCCGTTCCGCCCACGAATTGGTTTTTTTTCGGCAAGACTTGGTTTTTGCCTGTACAAGATTGTTAATGAGGCTGGGAGGGGTTGGTACAAAAGAAGAACGTAATGTAAAGACGAATGAAATGAATATCTTATAATTTGCGTCTTTCGATCCAAGTGATTCAATCAATATTATCAATTTCGATAGAAAGAGAAAATTAAACATATTGAAATAACCTGACATCAAGTTTTATTGAGCTTCTTTGCTAATTCAGTCAAATCTCCGTGGTTGAACGACAAATATTAGGTTAAGGTTGGAACAATACTTAGCTTTTTGAAACAACATTAAAGATCCATGCTTGTATACGTTTTACTACAGTTTGATCCACGCTAGTTTCTTCACTATTGCAATGAAGACTCGTAAAAAATAAGTTGTCCTGAATTATTGGACTGTTAGAATTTATTGCTTCCATGAAAAAAAGAAAAATACTTGTATGTTTGATGCTATCAAAATCGGTAAGGAAAAGAAAGTCAAACATGTTTTGAGTGACAATGGTTGAAATTTTCAAAGCGTACGTTATTCTTCAATAACTCAGAGCAAAAAAGGGTAAACGAATCAAGCAAAGTACGCATACAAGAACTACATCCTTCGTGGGAAGGAGTGAAGGACAATTACCTCCCTCCTTATCTTGTTCAAGTTACTGGAGAAGGAAATACTTGTGGTGAAACTTATATCAAAATAGCGACTTCTCCTAACTGCGAACGAAAAAAATCGAGAAAAGAAAGTTTTGTAACCTTCTATACCGTTAATTTAACTAGTTCTTCATTTTATTTGTAGCCCCCTATGCCGTGAGTTTAATTTCTTCATTTCATTTAACGCACCCTATGCCGTTACAACTCAAACAACCCAAACCATTAACAAAAAACAAATTAGCTTTACTATTGGGAGGAGGTGGAGGTGGAGGTGGAGGTGGAGGTGTGGTAGTGCCTGTTTATATTGAAATGACAATAAATGTATTGAAAACATTTTTTGTGGGAACATATCTTTTCTGGCGTCTACTTAATGTCAGTATTTGGAATTAGTTTACAGCTGTCTGCGTATGTTTTTATTTGTTTAGGTCTTTATATTTTCCAGAATATTTGTCGCGTTAAAATATGATAAATAAATATTTAGACTGTTTATCCAACTAATTAAGGAGAAAGTTGATAAAATTGAAGGGTGATTCACACGGGTCCTTGATCTTTGGAATAATGCAGATATATGGTGGGAGTAAAACTGATGACGATTCTACCGTGCGAGCTCATTGTTGATGAGCTATTTCATACTTCTAAAACATTTTTGTCTTGCTTTTTTTGCTGTAGAACGACTTGATGCTCATTCTTAGGGTGGTTATTTGACTGAAAGTGTTATTTTATCAATTTCTTTCTTGTTTTTATTGCCGAAAGTTGCGAAGCGTCGCAACAAATTTAATATTTTATGCTCGAAAGTTTACAGAAATTTCTTTCTTGTTTTTATTGCAGAAAATTGCGAAGCGTCGCAACAAATTTAATATTTTATGCTCGAAAGTTTACAGAAACTTTAATCCTCAGTCTCAGAATTCGAGTTAAAAAAAAAAAAAAAAACTACTTAACGCTGTCACGTCCAATTTTGGTGTTTTATTTTATTATAAATTCCGTATGGTTTATCGAGATGACTTTTCCTTAGGTAACCGTGGAAAAAATGGGAGAGCTCTTTGTATTTAAGTGAACAGTATTTGGCTTAGCCCGAGCTAGTAAATCAGTGAGTTAAAAAGCACCGTTTACATGTATGGTTCATACTTAAATGCACTGCTTTCTGATATCGTTATTCGCTTTGTTCGTCTATTTTTCTCTTTGATAAGGTTCGTGTGTGGATACTCCAAGAAAGTCGCAGGTGGAGGAGCCATAGAACTTGTGGCGACGGGAGTAATCATCATAGGTAAAGAAATTGAAATATTTTTTACATATATTAATTTGTTTTATTGACATGTCCCTCATCGAAAATGTGATGTGATTCATATGTAAGTGCAACAATCAGAGCTTCAGCTCAAACGCACAGCACAGGGATATGTGCTGGTGGATGAGGAGGTGTCATTCGCCTGAGGGCGCGAGACCTACATCGGTATTTTGGTCAACTTGTTGGTTAACAGTCAAGTTTGGTTTGAAAGAGCGCTATGATAAATAGAAACCTGCCAAGTTTGTTACGGGTTTTATTTTGGCCACGCAAGATGGCCGATTCATTTAAAGTTTACACAAAAATAAATCAATTATCAACGAATTTACACCTGATAAGACAGAAAAGATAAGGCAGGAAATAATACAAAATAATACAAAGAATGAGACGAGAAAGAGAAGGAAGGAAAAAGAATGGTCGAATTTTCTGAGTGTGGGAGATCAGGAGACAAGTGGAAGGAGCTTGCGAAAAATGCTCTTTCTCATACTGATCACTGAATACTTAGTAATTTTCTATCAAAACTCTTGACTATTGATCAAAGTACTTTCTGTTTTTTATCAGAGTCACCAGACAGTCTTGCTTCTTGCTCAATGAACTTTGGAAGTTACGGCTCTTCCCCTTCTAGGTTGAATCTTCAGCACTTCCTCAAGCAAACGCAAAAAAAATAGTTTCTAAATAAATCTCTGAAATTCATAAAGATTTCGCCCAGGAAAGATTATGCAAATTCACGCCTGAAATTAAAGCGAACCGTAATTTGAGCTTTTGTTTACAGAAGTTTGGGTGATATTTAAAAGTAAAAGTAGGTCTTCTTAAAGCGAAGACGTTGTTCAATGAAGGGAATTTTATGTAGGTAAGGGTTGCTTATTTACTGGTCTTTTTCATTTCGATATCGTGTACCGTTTCTCTTGATTTAGAGAACAATTCCATTTTGTTCTTGTAGCTGAGCGTTAACAAACGAACTGAATACATTTGGAACCGGGCTGGAATCCCGTGATTTTAAGGTTGATGGCCTTTTTTTACCTGATAGAAAAAATTATAGTGGATGGTCGATTTACAATCGAGAGCTCCTTTGGCTTTGAAAACAAGCAGCATTGGATGGCCAGTTGAACTTAACATCTACAAAATTAGAGATGATGTTTACTTTGATGTCACCGTCGCTTTACAGTGTCTTGGTCTCCAAAAGCACGTAAAAAACATGGCTTCAGTTTTATCGACAATTTTCTTTCTGAAAATGGTAAGTTGCCTTCACCTTTTGCATAAGTTATTGAAATAGTTGTAAAATAAATCTATTATGAATAGTTTTTTAAACAAGAACTTCATCAACTTTGAAGTTGTATTGGTTATCATTTGTATGTTATCAGTGGTGGAGTTTTATTTAGGCAAACACTTAATTAACATGTTTATGCAAATAATTTCTGGTTTGGAAAATATCATGAGCTACAGTATGATATACTTGCATCCAGGCATTCAGTAAATACTCTAGCCAATCACAAAGGACAAAGGACAAAGGACAACCACACTCTGATAAAAATCTTCTCCTCAGGCATTCAAAACAGCTTTATGCTCAACAAAAATCAGCGCAGTAGAGACTTCATTAGGTACGCAGCATTTGTGATATTAGCCATCAGATACCAAGGTACAGAAAACAGTGTTGAACCTCTGCGAAAGCGATTGTTAGGCCCAATTCTACTTCCACCAACTGGACGTATTGGCACTCAAGCACCCATTGTGGCTACTTCTCAGGGACCTAGTGTATCCAATCACGAGACTGAACCAGCTACTCCTACACAAGAAGCACGTCCAGAGACAGCATTTGAACCAGTAACACCTGCACGATATTTGCTTCAATCAAATGAATTTTCTACACCAGCAAGCCGTCATCGCCCTACAAAACAGGTTGCAGAAGGGCAAAACAAGAGAAGGAGTTTGTAGGACGGTGGAAGACAATTTGTTTCCGGACCACTTGTTCAGAGGCTCAAACAGCAAAACAGTAGATTTTTGGAAATGGCACAAGATATTCATGGTACTAAGGAGGATTTACTGGTGGGTATTTCTCTAGCTGCATCTTCTTGGCGTAAAAGCAGTAGCGATACTTCTGATTTATGGGATGGATCGTTAACTCCTCAAGATGCCGTCACATTAACCAAATTAACCCGTGACAGCAGTACGAAGAAGTCTGTTTATGAAACTCTAACCACTGACAATGCGACAGAACTCAATCACATCTCCAGCCTAGAAATTGTGCAAATGCAGGATTCAGTAAGTCAGAAGAAAATATTTAGAAATTTGAGGAGAAAGCTTCCCGGATATTTTGCTTCAGAAAGGCAGACAGAAAGGTTAAGAAACAAATGGCATAAAGAATTTGACATTGTTCTTCAACCATCAAGGACCACAACTGGATGGCGTATTAACCCCAAAAGACTCTATCAATGTGTCTCCATCGCTCATCCTTGGATGAAGGAACTAGATAGTGAGTAGTGGCGCCTGTATGGGGATGCTCGCAACTTTGGAGGACAAAAATCAGTGCTGATATCTTTGACAAACATAAACAATGAGGCCATGTTCGATGGCTACAGCTTTCACAGCCCCGAAGAAAACTGCTGGCCTGTGCACATCTTCTATAGTCCAGACTCACGTCTAAATCTTCAACTTATTACAAGTTATTCTTGTTTTCTCGTCGCCATATTCCCTTCGTCAGCCTTTTAACTCCTTACGGTGGCCAATATAAGTTTCCAAGTCAGAATAGTCACATTTGATCGCAAAAGTAAGAGCCTTTATTTGAAAGTGGTGGTTCTTTTATACAACTTAAGAGAGGATGTCAGCATCCATTGAACAAATTTGAAATATTGTGGCAAGTCGCCCAAAATTCGTTTTCTCTCCTACTTTCATATTTTGTTGTCCAATATGTTCTTATAATTGTGGTGTAGTTTTTTTGCGAAAATATACTTTAGTTTTCGAGAAATGACTTTTTTCGTTCGACCGCTCAAATACGCAAATTTTCACCGTAAATATTACCCGAGTTGTGTGACCTTATGTATCGAATGTACGAGACCTACGGTATTTCTGTGAACATTATCCTTTGTTTTATCATCTAAACTTAATCCCCTGTCGTTATTGAAGCTGCCAAAGAAATATTTATTTTTTGGTGAATATATTTGTCCGACATACTTTTCCTATGTCGAAAAGTAGCATCAAAACAAAGACAGTTTTAACAAACAATGACCGATATGACACAATCTACTGAGCTTCAAGCTTTTAAAAGACCAAAGGATGGCTATAAAGTTACTGTAAAAATTTCCTTGTGTATTTGTGTTGTTCTATCTTGAGACGAACTCAAAGTCCGGTAAAATTTACTTGATAGCGACTATGAAATGTACATGGTGCGCCTACTTGTCGCTATCGTTAATTGGCCCCGGAGGGCGAGTGGCTCTGCATTGTCTGCAGACTCTAGACGTCTTCGTAATTGTTAAGGTGTTATTTCGCATCCCTCAACAGTTAATAATCGTTAAAATTAGAAAATAAGATTGAGTTCGATGTAATAGTCTCCACTTTTGTTAGGACGTTAACATTAATGTTGATTTGCATCTGAAAATAAGCTTAGAGTTCCAATAGTTCAGAATAGAAACATTTTTACTTATCATAGGCTTTACGAACGACTTGTAATACGAGTGGTTTCTTCGTTCTTCTTCAAAAACTGTTTAATGTTATTATTTTAGAAAACCAGACTGAGTTATTTTTGTGACTGGACGCAATAGTCTCCACTATTGTTATGACGTTTCGTACCAATGTTGATTCGCATCAGAAGAAGCAAAGATTTATTGTAACAATTTCAATAGTTCGAATAGAGTAGTTTGTTCACATCTGAGTTATGAAGATTTTCCTGCTCAGTTAGATCGCAAACTTACGTATGGTGATAAAAGTCAAACACAGCTAACACTCGTATAGTATATAAAGTTTTATGTTTAAAAAAATAAAACAGAGTAAAACAGGAATGATTAAAAACATAGCCAAACTGACATAACTGTAGAATTCATACTAATCATGACGGTGTCAGAGCGACTGCGATCATGCTGTGGCCCATTGGGGCTGGCTCATTATGGCGATCTCCGGTCATCGCGGTGAAGCAATTCTAAGAAATTAAAACGACTGCTCTTCGAGTGAACAACTAAGAGCTTGCTCTGATATCCGTTCTAATGCGTTGAGCGGAAGTCCACATCAGTCACAACAGTCGAGTTGTACGGCGCTGTCATCCCGAGCAATATTAATGTTCCTATAAATTCGGCTGTCGATCATTCATAAAACACACGCCTTCAAAAACGTGCGCGATTTTATGAGCCACATTTCGGCCGGATTTCACTGAACCGACTACGTCTCGTATTTCTCCCTACAATTCTTTCGTGCTCTAGCCGCTTCCTGTCTAGGCTTCTCTGTTTGTTTATTAAACGTTAGGTATACCTGATAAAACCAAGTTTTCGATAGAAATGTGAGATCTGAAAGTTATCTGTCCAGCAACTTGCTTTTAATTTCAAAGTAGTAAAGCTTGCCACTTTGTCTCCACAAACTACCAAACTACATTACCTGATAGTCATTACCTGATCGGTTCTTGAAGACCGACAAACGCCAAATTTGATAGGCCTATCTTTTGCATAAACGTTGTCAAAACGAGATTAACGTCATGTAGTATATTTCATTGGACGATTCCTTGTTTGCATAATGACATTTAAATGAATACAAAACTTGAGATTCATCCGGTGCGGAAGCTTTAAGATAACGATTGCAACATTTCTATTAGTTTTCCTAGTACTCCAGACATTCTTAAACAATTTAGACTTGTTAGAGCAAATATTGATGATGGTCAGTATCTAATCCTTTAAACTCTTTAAGAGGTTAATGAAGGTATTTTCGAGTCTCACCTAATTCATTTTAACAGGAATTCGTGTTCATCGCGAAGTACTCAGTTGTTTCCGTTTTATTTTTGTAATTTGTAATTCTTTGATTGATTATTTGGCAGTAGTTACTACTTGACAGCAAAATCCTGCTTGTAAATGAAGCTCATAAAGAGATAAATAAATCATGTGAAGCGAACAGTGCACAGTTTTTGAAGCTTTTAAACTGCATTGTAGATTTTAAAATCAAGTTTTCTGATAATCAGAATTAAGTTGAGTTTTAATCTGTAGCACTGGGTTAAATTTTCGCTCTTTATGCAAAACACTCCCTTGACTCATACTTTCTTAATTTAATACCGAGTCGAACATGGCGAAACGTAGTATTGAAAAGGTATCGTTCGTTTAATGATGTAGCCATATTTTGATGTGGAACAAAACGTTTCGTCGATTTGCTTTAATAGAGCTAGTCGAAATATCGTATTCCATATAGCCAGAGTTATAAAATAAAGTTAAAAACGCCACTGTTGACAAACCTATTTTCTGTCACGTCAAAAAGATAAAATGTTATTACACCGAGGATCATCAAACCTTCAAAAAATTTTCTTTAGACATTTGATGGTTGTTTTGGGCAGAACCTGCCGCAATTGCTGATTAAAAGCTGTGTAAATAGAATTACGTGTGTGTTTTTGTATTGTCATTATTTCAATGTTACCTACAATGTTAAGGTGATCGAAACAAAAGTTTGTGGTCTTTTCCTGTTAATAATTAAATAAGCTGAAGAATACGCCATAAATAGTTGTATTAAAAGATCACACTAGAACAAAATTGCTCCTTTTAGTAAAGCTTGTTATTTAGAATATTATCCTTTAAAAACTAAAATTTTTTTTTGCTTAGCAAAAGACCGTAGGATTTTGTTTCTCCAAGTTGACAATATTGGGCGCGAAGCGGTAAATGATGGAGAAGATAAATGATTTTAATACTTAGAAGGTAAGTCTTCTATTTCAGTCTAAACTCCTTAAAAAGTAAGCCACTACAGGATTAAAATCTTTTCTTATGCTTAAATAAGCAATGACGTTGACGTATGCTTCGCATTAACGTAGCTAAGAAGATTAGATCTCTCCAACTGTAAATCAAAAGTTATATTGCGCAGATTACATCGACAAACATCAAACCTTGCCGATCTGAAAATACTTCTCGATCAATTTTTTTCTTGTGGCAACTTTTCAATCGTGAATATGTGGAAAGTGCTTCTGCTTGCTTGGAACAGTTCGCTGGAGAAAAGGATTGATTCGACTATCTGACGTCACAAATTTTCACTGTTTTATATATCGTTCTTGTGTATCAAGCACTAAAAAAGGTGTACAAATTATTCAATAGACCGCACTTTCTATCGTTTTACTAGCGTAATAGCTTACTTGAGATGCTGGGAAAACACGAGAAAAGTTTGTAAATCACGAGCTGGAGGCGATTGACTTACAATATTTTCGAGAATAACATGAACTATCCTGCTCGAAATCTATCGAACTTGCCAAAGGAAATTAAGTCGCCTTCAAGATGCTGTATGCTGGGCGTGTTAGCCTTGAGTTATGACCAATTTTATAGCTCTATGGAATAATTTTTCGATTTTTCCAAGCCCTGATTGCTTAAAAAGCAGTAAAAGTTGTTGACACACAACTTCTATATATATTAAAAAAAACCTCCAAATCACTTAAAAAAAAACATTTTTTACTAGACACTATGGTATATAAAACAGCATTTAAAAAGCAAGAATCATAACTTTTAGTTGCATTCTGCTGGATCCAATCTGTTAATGATATTTAAATAATCTAAAGAGGCGATTTAGAGAAACTTCCGGTGAAATAATTTCTTAGTGTACTCCCATAACCATTAATCTTAACACAATGAACGTTAACATTGTACAATTCAAACCGTGATCAATTTAAAAAAAAAATAGCTTCCTACCCTTGTACAGTAGGGTACCGCACAGCTTCCTCTGTAAAAACTATGTTAACCCGAAAGATCAATTTTTATTTCTTTTTCCTTGCATGTTTTTTTATATATCAAATTGGCCGGAAAACAGCTGAAGTTAAAAGATAATTAATTTTACTCACATCACGTTGTTTGCAATATTATGCATTAATTTAAACGTAAATGTATTAGATGCATGTCACTTTCTAAAGAGAGATCAACTATCAATGCATTTAGAATAAAGGAACTTCTAGAGTCGTCAACGGCGTTTTAGGCGGCAGGCATGAAACTGCGAGTTTTTTAGCGTGTTGAATTTCTTATCTCAGTTTGAACTAAAACAACTTTTCTGCCAAGAGCGATCGACCAAAAGAAAATCACTTGAATGCCATCTGGAATTCATAGCCGAGAGAACAACACGAAATATGGTGAAATTGACGATGCTGATGTTTAAGGTAAGCCGTTGATAGAGTAAAAGTTTATACTATAATTACTAAAGTAGGGGAGTTCAAAAGACGATTAAACTGAAAGGTGGATAGCGTGATGGACCAACAGCAAAATAATTTGAACACGTAAAGTTTTGAATCGACAGGGAATTTAAGGTTATCTTCTTCTGTACCATCTAAT